AGATTTTCAGATACTGACAGGTATATATAAAATAGACAAACAAGTTCAACAAGTTTATACTGTATAGCACAGGGAAATATACTCAACATCTTGTAGTCACTTACAGTGAAAAAGAAGATAAAAATGAATATATGTATATTCAAAAAATAAATAAAATGTGTAAAAATTGGGGGGAGGGTATAGCTCAGTGGTAGAGCACATGCTTAGCATGCACGAGGTCCTGGGTTCAATCCTCAGTACCTCCATTAAAAGATAAATAAGTAAACCTAATTACCACCCTGCCCCCCAAAAAACCAAAACAAAACAAAAAAATTGAAGGAAAAAAAAAAAGAAAGAAAATTGTATTTGTCTCTCTTCACTAGAATGTAAGGTCCAGGAGGGGAGGAATTTTTGTCTGATTTGTTCAGAGCTGTATGCCTAGTGCTTGCAGGTAACAAATACTTTTTTTAAAATAGACTTTATTCTTCTAGAGCAGTTTCAGGTTCACAACAGAGTTGAGCAGAAAAAAAAATACGGACCACTTCGCACATTTGTGTGTTATCCTCGCGGAGGGGCCATGCTAATCTTCTCTGTATCGTTCCAATTTTAGTATATATGCTGCCGAAGTGAGCACCAGGTAATAAATGCTTGAATGAATAAATAAAAATTTTAAAGCTAGCTTTTTGGGGTTCCTCTCACTTCATTTTACACCCCATACGCATCCTGACTGCTTCTCACAGGCCGGGTTTAACTCCCACACCACCTTCGTCCCACACACCCACTCCACCCAAGTGAGAAAGGACAGGCCACCTCCCGTGTGCCTGGCGAGGCCACCTCCAACGTCAGGGCAGTGTCTGAGGCCTGCATGCCAAGTAACCCCCCAGAATGACGGCAGAGAGGAAGACAGACCCCACCAAGTGCCGGTGGGGGTGTGGAGAAACTGGAACCTCACCTACTGCTGGTGGGGGTGCAAACTGGTTTAACTCCTGCCGAGAACTGCTGGGCAGCATCCGCTAAAGCTGTGAATACATAGGTCCCATGTCTCAACAATTCCTCTCCTCATTATGTGCCTACGAGAAATGAGGGCTTGTGTCCATCAACAGCCCAGCGGTAGGACAGCTTATGAATCTTCATTCATGACAACTCCAATGCCTGGCAACAGAATGGATAAACAATTGCGGTGGCGGCCCCAAATAGAACACTCCACCACAATTAAAAAAACAACTACAGAGACCCACATGGGAGAATCTCACAGACATAATGTGGAGCAAAGAGATCTGAACAAAAAGATACATACAATGTGACTCTATTTATATCGTTCATGAAAAATGAATCAGTTGATCTGAGAAAGAAATGGAAAATTTTATTCGAACAAAACTGAGGATTATCACCTGGAAACAGCCTTTCAGAAAGCTCCCAGAACTGCTCTAGTTCTAGTTCTGCTCTAGTTAGAGATCAAAGCACAGTGACATAAATTTTTGAGACAGAAGCCTGTATATTTAATGACATATTGTTAACAGTCTACACAACCCAGATCTATGTGTACAAAGCCAGTAGTCGGTCATGGGTCATCCTGGCCCCTTGCAAGATTAAGAAGGAAGATTATTGTCTAAAGAGCTGTGACCTTTGATGAGGTTAAAAGGGACTGTTATCTCCTCAGGAGGTCTGGTTAATGCAACTGCACAACACACACTAATGGGAGGAGGCCCAAACGGGCGAAGAGTATTTTTATGTTTAAATTTTTCTTGCTTGTCTTGCCATAAAATCTGAATTTTGTTTCATCAGTATGAAGTTAAAAAAAAAGGAAAATATTATGGTGACAGAAAGCAGAATGTCAGTTATCCTTGGAGGCAGGAACTGCTGCAAGGAGCTGAAGGAGTCTTCTGGGGGCTGGAGATGCTCTGTATCTTAATCTGGGTGATGCTTATATGTGTGTGTGAGTGTGTGAAGTCTCAACTGAGCTGCACACTTGAGATTTGTGCACTTTTCTGGATGTAGGTTAGACCTCAATTAGAAAAAGAAGAGAAGTCTTGAAGGGTAACTCAGATGGCTGACTGCTCGGGTTATGTATCCAAGCTCGCACCAGCTTCCTCCTTGTAACGGTCTGAAGACTTGCTGATTTCCCTCCCCGCTCACTCCTTGACCTTTGGAGAGGAAGTTGATGTGCAGAAGTACCCTGCACCTGATCCTGGAGGACACGGGTGCTTTCACAAAGCACATCCTTGAAGAGCTTGGTCTCTCTGCATCATTGCTCTCCAAACTGGAGGAGGGCTGGACAGGCTTTGTTTCTTCAAATCAGATTTTAATCTGAATTATGTTTGTTCTTCCACTCATGTGATAATCAGCTTGCGAGACAGCAAGACTGCCTGCATGAGATGTCGCCTTGTTTTTGACTTGAATAAAGGAAAACAATTGCTGTGAATGTTCTGTTTTCATGTCTTGGAGCTGTTCATCGTTGTGTGGTTTCCTCCCTAATTGAATTGAAATCTGCACAGTGTCTTGATGACAGTCTCATTTTGGGGGTGAATCTAGGCTCCAAGACCCTCACATGGCCCCTTTCCCTGGACTCTCCTGGGAGGTTGGGCTGAGACCCCCTGTCACATGACTCAGGACCACTCCTCTCTGTGCCGGTGGAGGAAGTGGCGGTGGACCCTTGCAGTCCTCAGGAGGTCCGTTTACTGAGTCCCACGATTGCACTGCTTGTCCAGACCCATGTCCTGTGACCATTTCTAGAGCCAGGATGTGGGTGAATCAGCTGTATCAAAGCATGTGGCTGAAGGTAAGGAAAAGGGCTTCCCCAGGGGTGTGGGAAAAACACTCCGCGATTTCATTTGCTCTCATGCCAGTACACTCACAATACTCCTGACACCAGATGTGGAGGGTTTCCCTCCTCCGCACCAAGCAATTCTCTGTGACACCAACTGGATGTCCTACAATTCAATTCTATTCTGACACTAACTGGTGTCGGTGCAGCCCCCACAGGTTACGAGCTCAGTGCCACAAGGCTGCGCCCAGCTCAGACGCCAATCTCATATCCCAGGTTGTCACTTGTACTTCTGACGGACCAGCTATAATCAGGGGTCCCAGGATCCAGTCCTTGGATTTGATAATTTGCTAGAACGTCTCACAGAACTCATGTTTACTGGTTTATTATTAAGGGTATAGTGAAGGATACAGATAAAGAGACGCATAGGGCGAGGTGTGTGGGAAAGGCGCGCGGAGCTTCGTGCCCTCTCCAGTGCGCCATCCCCCTGCCCACCCCAGCACCTCCGCGTGTTCACCAACCTGGAAGCTCTCCGAACCCTGAACTTGTGGGATATTTATGGAGCTTTCAGCGTGATTGATCATTAACTCAGTCTCTCCCCTTCCTGGAGGATGGCGAGGGCAGGGGGACGCTAAGTTCCAAGCTTCTCATCTTGGCTTAGTCTTTCTGCTGTTGCCTCATTATGAAAAAAGACACTGTCCAGGAAATCCCAAGGGATTTAGAAGCTCTGTGTCAGAAATGCTCCTAGCGCTCTTTTGTTGTTGTTGTTGTTTTTTAATAAACTTTGTTCTTTTAGAGCAGTTTCAGGTTCACAGCAGAATTGAGCAGAAAATACAGAGAGTTCACATATAGCCTCCCCAAGCCCCCCCCAACATACATACTCCTCTACCCTCAACATCCCCCATCAGTGTGGCATGTTTGGTACAATCAATGGACCAACACGGGCACATTATTATCAACCAAAGTCCATAGTTTACATTAGGGTTCACTCTTGATGTTGCACGTTCTGTGGGTTTTGACAAATGCATAATAACATGTAGCCACCACTATAGTATCATACAGAGTAATTTCATTGCCTTAAAAACCCCTTGTGCTCCATCTATTCATTCCTCCCTCCCTCCCTCTCCCCAGACCCCTGGAAACCACGATCTTTTTATTGTTTCTGTAGCTGTGCCTTTTCCAGAATGTCATTTGGTTGGAATCATACAGTTTGTAGCCTTTTCACACTGGCTTCTTTCATTTAGTAACATGTCTTTTAAGTTTCTTCTATGTCTTTCATGGCTTGATAGATCATTTTTTTTTACTGCACATTTATTTTTAAATTTACATGTATGCACTGTTTATTGTTTCTAAGAACGTTTAGAGCTTTAGGTTTTTAAACTTAACATAGTTATCAAAGGAATAGAGCCAACCACAAAATAAGAATTAACTGAAAAAGATACATACACCCCACTATTAACAGGAACATTGTTTATAATTGCCAAGATATGGAAGCATCCTAAGTGCACATCAATAGTTGAATAGATAATAGAAATGCAGAATATATATATATGTATATATATATATATGTAATCGAATACAACTGACCCATAAAAAAGTATATTTTGCCATTTGCAGCCCTTCATTCACTTTTTTTTTCACTTCAAAAACCAGAATTGTATAACTGGCAGAGACGAGAAATGCTCCTAGTGCTCTTATGACTTAGGAAATTACAAAGGTTTTAGGAGCTTTGTGCCGGGAACCAGGGGCAAAGACTTATATATGTGTGTGTGTGTATGTATAGTTTTATTTCACACCAGGGAACACCAGAGTGTGACAACAGAGGGAGGAACACGCACTCAGGTGAGCCACAGGTGCCCACCTCCCCATGAACTCGCTCCTGCAGCAGGGGGCAGGGAGTTGCGAGCAAAGTGGTGTTTCCAGGTGAGGACACAGCACGAGTGCAGAACAGAAGGAGCGTGGGGAGCCTGGGCCGGCCCTGGGGGTGATGCTCTGCACCCCCTGCCCCGCCCAGAGCTGGGCCCCCTGCAAGCCCTGCGTCCACTGTGGTGCTCCCCGACAGCCCCCTGCCTCTCACTGAGCACCTTTGCTTCAACTCCAACTCCTGCTGCAGCTCCGGTCTTGGGAAAAGAAGTTGTCAGCAAGTGTCTGGCTTGGCCCAAGGCTGAAAAGGTTCTTCTGCTTCCTGGGTTGGGGGTGGGGACTCCAGCAGGCTTGGTTGGGATACAAAGGAAGGCATTTTGGCATTTTAGAATGTTGGTAATTTTGCAAACTGCATAAAGTGTGTGTGTGTGTGTGTGTGTGTGTGTGTGTGTTCCAGAATCCTGGAACGCTGATTCCCACAGCCCTGGGTATTGCTGTGGGCAGCCAGAGGGCCATGTCAAGTGTGGCTGTGCTGAGAAGGAATGGGCCCCGCGGGTGGCTGGCCTTAGGCCCCCCACTCCCATCCATCCCTGCTTGGTGCACGGGAACCGGTCTCCGGAAAGCCTGTTCTTTGGGGTCAGACGTCTGGCAGGATCCCTAAGCTGACGCTCCAAGGATTGAAATTTCCCCTTGTTTTTGCCCAGTAACGTCTGGCTCCGGCTGCCCATCCCCTGTTCTCCCCCTCCCTGCCTGCTTGCCTTTCTGTTTTCAGCGCTGGAACATTCCACTTAGAGCTGGGCTCTGTGGCAGGGAGGGGAGCCAGCAGGCGATTAGATCTGGAGGACGCAGGACAGTGCCCTGGCCACAGTGGCTGGGCTGGCACTGACCCTGTCTTGCCAGTGTCAGGGACACGGCTGCCCGGGGACCTGTGAAGGGAGCAGGGAAGAGCCCCCAAGAGCCTCCTGTGGGCTTCACTCTCCCTCCCGGGTGCCACCGCCCTGTCCCCA